TTTGTGGGGGAGGAAGGCACATTTGTAATGACGTTCCACTGTCAGATCAAATCTTCTGAATAAGGTGGAATGGACTGGGGCTTCTTGGGCAAACGTCTGGGCCCCTTTTCAGAGAATCAGATGGAATATATTGCACTTGGCTTTTCCTTAGAGATAAAAATTTATTAAAACATTTCTTTGTAGTATTACCTTAGGGCCTCAGTGAGACAGCCCTGCAGCTGTTTCTACTAACCTTCCCGGTTCTACAGGAAGACCAAAGGCTGGGATATTGTCTTCCTTCTCGGCTCGGAGAGGTCGGAGCTGGACGAAAGGTCCATTCTTACTTCATGAACTGAATTCCACATGGAAATTCTAGCCCGCACTTTCAGTTTTTCATTTTCACTGAATGAATGAGATGGTGGATACAGACAGTGGAGATGGTGAGTGTCTGAATTGTTATCATGCATTACACTGAGTTGTGTGTGTGTGTTTTAACCGTAAAGCTGTTGTTAGCTGGGGTAGAGTTGGCGCCAACTCATGGCGACCCAGCGTACAACAGAACGAAACACTGACCAATCCTGCACCATTTCCAAGATCACTGGTATGCTTAGGTTCATTGCTGCAGCCACCGTGTACTTTGATTGCCTTTAAACCTAGGGGACTCATCTGCCAGCACTATATCAGACAATGTTCTGTTGTGATCCACAGGGTATTCATTGGCTAATTTTTGGAACTTGTACATAGACCAAAAGGGAGTTATTCAAACAGAACAAAGGGATACTACGTGGTTTAAAATCAGGAAAGGTGTGTGTCAGGGTTGTATCCTTTCACCATACCTATTCAATCTGTATACTGAGCAAATAATCTGAGAAGCCGGAGTATATGAAGAACGCGGCATGAGGATTGCAGGAAGACTCATTAACAACTTGCGTTATGCAGATGACACAACCTTGCTTGATGAAAGTGACGAAGACTTGGAGCATTTACTGATAAAGATCAAAGACTACAGCCTTCAGTATGGATTACATCTCAACATAAAGAAAACAAAAATCCTCACAATTGGACCAATAAGCCCCATCAAGATAAATGGAGAAAAGATTGAAGGTGTCAAGAATTTCATTTTACTTGGATCCACAATCAACGCCCATGGAAGCAGCAGTCAAAATATCAAAGGGCGTACTGCATTGGGCAAATCTGCTGCAAAAGACCTCTTTAAAGTGTTAGAATGCAAAGATGTCACTTTGAGGACTAAGGTGTGCCTGACCCAACAATGGTATTTTAAATCACTTCATATGCATGTGAAAGGTGGACAATGAATAAAGAAGACTGAAGAAGAAGAGTTGATGCCTTTGAATTACGGTATTGGTGAAGAATACTGAATATACCATGGACTGCCAGAAGAAGGAACAAATCTGTCTTGGAAGAAGTACAACCAGAATGTTCCTTAGAAGCAAGGATGGCAAGACTTCAACTCACGCACTTTGGACATGTTATCAGGAGGGACCAATCCCTGGAGAAGGACATCATGCTTAGTAAAGCAGAGGGTCAGTGAAAAAGAGGAAGACCATCAACTAGATGGACTGACACAATGGCTGCAACAATGGGCTCAAGCATAACAATTGTGAGGATGGTGCAGGACTGGGAAGTGTTTTGGTCTATTGTACTCAGAGTTACTGTGAGCTGGCACCTAACAACAGCAACAATTTTTGGAAGTAGATCTCCAGATCCTTCTTCCTAGTCTGTCTTAATCTGGAAGCTCTGTGGAAACCTGGCCACCATGGGTGATCCTGCCGGTATCTGAAATACCAGTGGTGTTACCTTCCAGCATCATAGCAACATGCAAGCCACCACAGTACTACACACTGACAGACAGAGGTGGTAACAGTGTTATCTCGGGCTTCACATATGTTCCACTAGGATGCAGGCAACACTTTCAACTGGCCTCCTGGCCTCGTCTCCATCCCTTTAGCTCTTTTGTGAACAAGGGAAAATACACATGAACAAATAAACGGAGCACACCACTCACCTTCTGCACCACCGCAAGACTCACTGTCATAACACTGCCCCTCGTTCCAAAGCCATCCGAGGCATTTGCTGTTTTTGGCTCTACCCATCCCCACTCTCACTTTCCCGAGAGCCCAGCCCCATGGACAATGACTCATGGATTTCCAAACTTCCCACATGGTAGTGAGCTTTGCCCAGGCCATTGCCATCCTCAGGCACACACACTCTCTTCCCCCTGGCAATGGAAACTGTCCCTTCTTTTAAATCCCAGCTCAGGTGCCCTCTCTCCATTTAAACTCCTGCAGAGGACACCAGCTGTAGGAATCCCTCCACTCTCTGGATTCTACAGAGACCTGGCACCCTCAGCTGGCCCTGAGAACATCCCTCACCATCACTGTAGAGTTATAATCACCATTTGTCTTTTCTTCTCTATGACAAAGTGCTCAGTAAGTATTGGCTGAATTTAATTAGAAACAAAACTCCCTACGAGAACTTCTGAAGTACAAAGAAACATTCATTTCTCATACATAAATATCCTCTCAGAGATCAGTGAAGTTTTGGACATTCAAAACTTACCTCTGGAAATACCACATAATAACATCACCATCACCTCGGCCTTGGAGAACAATTATAACTGAGCACTGTTCTTTAGGAAAGCGAATGTGACCACAAGAAAAGATGGGATTTGACTCCACTTGTGAAAAAGGAGGAGCCCTGGTGGCGCAGTGGTTAAGAGCTCGGCTGCTAATCAAAAGGTCGGCAGTATGAATCCACCAGCTGCTCCTTGGAAACCCTATGGGGTAGTTCTACTCTGTCCTACAGGGTCGCTATGAGTCAGAATCGACTTGACAGCAATGGATTTTATTTTATTTTATTTTTGGTGAAAAAGGAAGACTTTGGTATATGTCTTGGTGGTATAAGGATGTGATATACGTAGTACCAGATAGAAGAGAAAGTTACACACTCAAGAACTTATTAATTCACATATACCAATTAAACTTGTTGCCATCAAGTCGATTCCAACTCATAGCAACCCTATAGGACAGAGTAGAACTGCCCCATAGTTTCCAAGGGGCGCCTGGCAGATTCGAACTGCTGACCTTTCGGTTAGCAGCCACAGCACTTAACCACTTCGCCACCAGGGCTTCCATATACCAATTAGAACTATAAAATACTTGCATACAGTCTTCACTTAGGAATAAAGATGAAAGTAATATAAAATATGTATTGGTTAAAAAAATCAACCCATTTATTTGTTTCTAATCATTCTAAATGGTTTCACTAATTATGGTAAGTCGAAACACAAACTTTTCTAATTCATTGAGAATGTTAAAAATAGAATATATGTTCCTTTTGCACATACACAGTAAGGTGCCTAAGTACAAAGTTGATTTTTTTTTCCAACTTATTTTAATGTTTTCTACAACCGTACATTACAGTCAATCTAATTTCCAATCATTTTTCATTTCCAGACCTGAAATATCCTTGAAGGATACCATATCTAAGAAAAAATGGATATTAAAACGTGAATTAAGCTTTTAAAAATGCTCATAGTTGATGACCCAGCTTATTTTCTGTATGTTAGTGTTAAACAAATCCAGATAAATAATTTTTTTAAGTGTATCACTTCCTCCGTTTGTAATAAAGTTACCCACGTTTACATTACATTGTATACCTCATATGTAAAGAATGCACATATCAAACGGGATGCAATTTTAAACAACAAATACACATTCTGCACTTTCTGGTCCCCCCTACCCTCACCCAGAACATCCAGTAGGACTAGCGAGACTCACATGCTGGCTTCATTCTCTGAGATGAACCAAAGGTGGCATCACACATTCATTTTCCAGTGTTAATGAAATCGAGTCCACCCACCACTCTTCTTACTTTATTGTTACTTATTATTACCCAGCAGCAGAAACCAGTTTCTTATCCTTCACTTTGGGCCCATCATAGAACTCCACTTGGAGTTTCATTGTATCTGAGCCCTGGTAGCACAGTGGTTAAGAGCTACAGCTGCTAAACAAAAGGTCGGCAGTTCGAATCTACTAGCTGCTCCCTGGAAACCCTGTGGGGCAGTTCTACTCTGTCCTATAGGGTCGCTAAGAGTTGGAATTGACTTGACGGTAATGGGTTTGGTTTTTACTGATGGGAGACACCTTCTCTCCCTTCATCTCTTCACAACTTGAGAAAGGAATACAGAAAGCAAACCTAAACCCTAAACCCCTACACTTCACGTTTGTGAGACACACCCATACCATGTCTGAGCTATATCAGAATCCACTTCCTTCAGACAGCTACAGAGATGGACTGGTCCATTGTGAGTGTACCAGAAGCTCCTTCTATGAAATAGGACTTCTGAGAGGACATACAATTTTATCACCTTTTAGTAACATTAAATATGCATGTATACTCAAAAATGGTTTATAATAGCTGCAAATGAAAAATGAGAAACTAAATGGCCTCAAAATAAATGCGATTTTTACACTGGATAGCAATTAACATTAATGAGAAGTCACCATACATTATGCCATACTTGGTTGATTAAATGTGTTAGAAATGTATTTTAACATCAAAATATATTTTGTTACCATAAACTCACTTATTTGGGGGTGGGGTGGGAGGAGAGCACCAACTGAAGAGATGCTTATCAAAGACGTAAAAATAATAGAACTAAAGAATAAAAAAATCTTAATTAGTGTTAACGGCACAGCTTATGCCTATTAGAAATGTATTAATTACAGTAATATATTCATAAGATTAGAAACTTAATACATTTCTAAGAGGAGGAGAGGACTCCCCAAGGCCTCAAAACAAACACAAAAAATTGAGGAGTTTGAATTATCCACGTCTGCTGAAGACCAAATTTGACTATGGACATCTCCATGCTGGGCTAATCAACATTCCTGCAGGTCGCCAGGGCCATTCCAAAGGTGGCTGTCATTAAGGCCATTTCCAGTGGTCTAACCGTTGGCCAAATGCATTAGTAACCACACGCCTTCCAAGGTTCCTACCTTGTGGAGTCTAGTGAGGGTTTCGTCCGCCCCTGGCTGCTCTCTTCCCAGACGCTGTTGGCCAGCTCATTCCCAATGGATGACATCACTTTGATAAGCTCAATAGGCCAGTCGTCGAGGTCCAGAGAGCGGACGCGGGAAAGGTGGGTGCCAAGATTCCGGTGGATCCCTGAGCACTCAATGCACATAAGGGCACCCAAGTTCAAACTGGCCCAGTTCGGATCTGCAAAAAGAGGAACAGGAAGCCGGATATGCAATCAGACCATTGCAACTGGCTCCAGAAGCTCTTGGATTCTGAATAAAACAAATCATCAGGACACAGTCAATTCAGTGTCCAGCAGCCTCTTCCTAGAATCCTATGGAAATGCTCCCCGTCTTGAAAGATTTGACAGGTTGGTGGCAACTTTCAAAATTTTGGCTTAAGTCAAGCCTGCTCCCTGAGATAATGGGAGTTCCTTCCCCTTCGCATACAATAAACAATTATGAGTGTTGGTTCAGATGGAGAGATACACTTTCCAATATGTCAATAACAGCATTCAACTCAAGAGGGCAGGTGTTCATGATAAAACTTGTCCATGAACTGGCATCCACTGTGGAGAGTTGCTGATAGAGGGAAAAAGAAGAGGTCGGAGGGGCAGCTGGGTGATACCCCAGCTCTGTGTCCCAAAGCTATAATGTCCCTCATACCCATCTCTGTAACTACTGACACATCAACATTTTCATTAGTCACACAATGGACATGCTTGAAAATTTCAGTGAGGAAAGAGACACACACCACGAATAAATATGGCTCCTAAGCCCAGCCACTGAGCTGGGATCCATGTACTGGTGGTGTTCACTTCTCCACCTGGTCACTGGTGCTGGGAGCCTGGTGGTACCCCCTCTACCACCCAGCCAACTGCCCCGGAGACCCAAGGACTGGAGGCACCTGCTTCTACACCCAGCCACCTGCAATGGGGGCCTACAGACCAGCAGCGCCCGCTGCTCTGCCCAACCACTGGCACCTGGAGCCCACAAACTG